TGGGGGCGCCGCGCCCGAGCCGGACCGTGCTCTGTCAGCCCCGCCTGGCTGTGTGCCTGTCGGGCTGTGTGCGCTTGTCTATTAACAGAGCCACAGGAAAAACATGTTTTACGTGGGAACGTGTTTGCATTTCTTCACAGGTCAGAAACCTGTGGGAAGGATAGAGGTTGGGGGCGCCGCGCCCGAGCCGGACCGTGCTCTGTCAGCCCCGCCTGGCTGTGTGCCTGTCGGGCTGTGTGCGCTTGTCTATTAACAGAGCCACAGGAAAAACATGTTTTACGTGGGAACGTGTTTGCATTTCTTCACAGGTCAGAAACCTGTGGGAAGGATAGAGGTCTGATGCCGAGAAAACCTGGAAAAGAACTACTCCTCTGAGTAGTTGTATCTCTGAGTAGCAGGTAATTGTTTATTCAGCACTGGGCACAACAGAGACCGCTCCACCAAACTTGTGCAACCAGGGACAAAAACGTAACATTTTATAGCCATTAAATGCTCATACATATTCATTATTTCCAGGAATCGGTGGTCATTGTTGCAATTAGTTGTTGGAAATCGTTATCATAATCACCTCCTTCTTCTCCTCCCACTTGGCATTAGTCCGATGGTCTCTGGTGGCCATCTGGGGGGCGTCAGGAGGAAGGCCGATCATCTTCATCAGATTGAACTTTTCACTTTTATGTTTAGTGCATGCTCTTTGGTCTTGCTCTTCAGCTGCCAGGTCCTGAGTTCAGCTGCATCTAGTTTTACTTCCTCATAAATACACTGTGTTTAAGCTCCCTAAGCTAAAATAACGCCCTGAGTTCTACCCCTTTCATGTTTAATAAACTAAAACAATGCCTTATTGCTCAACCTTTTACCTTCTGTTTATTCAGGTGCTCTCTACTTGACTATCCTCTATCCTACTCTCAGCCTTAACTATTCGATCCCCATTATCAGGTCCTTTAGAACTGATCTTAGAGTGATACAGTCACTTCTGATGCCTTTGTGTCTCTCAGCAGGTGAGGGCAGAGCCTCGAGCAGGAGTTATCAGCCCAAACACTGGTGCTGGGTTTCGGTGACTGGAGAGTGGGTGATTCTGAGAGCTGTCCCACGGGGAGGGAGGTGCAGGCGCAGCTGCCGTGGTACAGCATTGCTCAAAGGGCCTCACCTGGAACTGGTGTTCACAGGGTGAAGATGCTTGGATTTAACCATCTGTCAGTCTCCATTCTGTCTGTGACATGGGTTGGTAATCACTGGAATTTTCCTCAAAAGCCCAGCAATGAGGAACAGCTGAGAGAGCTGGATTTGTTCAGTCTTGAGAAAAGGCAGCTCAGGAGTGACCTCATGGCTCATGGCCTAGAAGATGGTAATGTGGCACAGCAATAGGTTTTAGAATGAAAAAGTCCTCTAAAACACCAAAGACTGGGGTTGAATTCCAAACATTGCTAAAAACCTCCTATGTAAGTCTTGGTTCAAGCTGCTTATGAGAACAGATTAGTGTATGTTGGAGAGCAGCCAGACAGAAAGGGACCTGGGAGTTTGGACAGATAGAAAGCTGAACACGAGCCAGCAGTGTGCTCAGGTGGCCAAGAAGGCCAAAGGCATCCTGGCCTGGATCAGGAACAGCATGGTCAACAGGACCAGGGAGGTGATTCTGCCCCTGTACTCGGCACTGGTGAGGCCACACCTTGAGTACTGTGTGCAGTTCTGGGCCCCTCAGTTCAAGAAGGTTATTGAGAGAGGCTGGTGAAGGGACTTGAGCACAAGTGCTATGAGGAGAGGCTGAGGGAGCTGGGGTTGTTTAGCCTGGAGAAGTGGAGGCTCAGGGGAGACCTTATCACTCTCTACAACTCCCTGAAAGGAGGTTGTAGTTAGGTGGGGGTTGGTCTCTTCTCGCAGGCATCTATCAGTAGGACAAGAAGGCACAAGCTGTGCCAGGGGAGGTTTAGGTTGGATATTAGGAAGAGATTTTTTTTTTTTTGAGAGAGTGGTCAGGCATTGGAATGGGCTGCCTGAGGAGGCGGTGGATTCACCATCCCTGGAGGTTTTCAAGACAAGACTGGATATTGCACTTAGTGCCATGGTCTAGTAATGACGGTAGGGTTGGACTCGATGACCTTGGAGGTATCTTCCAACCAGGCTGATTCTATGATTCATGAGCAGCTGACAAGGGAGACTGTAGGTAGCTAGGATAGGCAGTTAAGATGCCAATCCCTTTTGGCTGTTCCTCATTCTCTAGGAAACAGTAAACTGCTTCAGTCTCTGTGGTCATATAAACACATGTGTACTGAATGTTTCAAACTGAGCAATCTCTGCAAGTATTTGTGTCATAAAAATGAAAATCTGCTAAAGTTGCAAGGACCTAACTCATCCCAGGTGCTATTGATCCTTATAGGCTGTTAGGAAAAGTGTATAGTTAGGTCTGGAAGGAGCAAAGGCTATTCCCACTTTTCAGGGCTCACATCTTGAAGCAACAGCTTGAATGTGGTGGCTATAAGAATAACTTCTGCAACTCAGTAGATAGCTTTTTGCAGCAGTTCAGATTGCTTTCTGCCAGCCTTCTTAGGTGATGTGACTTGCACGTTTCATTCTCTTCACATTCAAAATAATTAATTTGGGCTATTTTTTGAGGTCCAGTTCTTTCTCCTTGCACTAGTATGAAGTGGAGAGCAGAGCAATAAGATGATATTCAAAGTTACAGTTTATTATGAAGTTATAATAATTTCAAAATATCCCCTTAAGTACAAATACATAAAATCTTAAAAGGTAACAAGATGTGTGAATTCAGTTTCCTGTTAACATAAATGCAAGGCATCTGTGGTCAGATAAAGTGTAAGTGCATTCTCTGAGAGTGTACAAACTGATCAAACAAAGCAAACAAGACTTGTATGCCAGAAAACATATGGCCTCAAAGGGTTTCATTTCATATAGTTCCACATAGCAGCAGCTTATGCTGAATTATAATGAACACGAAAAGTGAGTTTATTAATGGCAAGGATGACAAATACATTTGTTATAGTAAAATAATACATTATCACAAAAACTTGTATTAAGTTTCCCAGAGAGATTTGTCATCATGAATAATTGCACTTAACCTGTAGGCTATTACTAGTAGCAATTACTATTTTCTTCATCATTTAAAAATATTTATAATTTCCTTAACAAAAATCCGTTCCGTACCCAACACAAAACATTCACTGAATGCAGATTTTAGATAACACAGTATTGGACTTCAGTTGTGCACCTTTACTTTCCTCTTTTTACTTAGATACCACAAAGGTTCAAAAAAAATTAATATGAGTGATCTGTGCAAAATGGGAAGCCTCTATGTAATAACTAATACCTCATGCAGAAGAGGAAAAAACATATAAAAAAAATACGGTCTAAGAAGCCCTGAGTCAATAATTTCATTGCAAAGGCAAGGAACACGAGTGCTCTGAGTTCTTCCTATGCATTGGTGCGTATTCAAACAAGTCCAGTATGTGCTTAAAAGTTATTTTAAAATAGGCAGTTTGTGCAGTTTCTCACATATAAATCTTCTATGCACTTCATTCCTTTCAGCAGACTGTATTTAATATTCAATTTCATTTAAGCTGTCAGGATAGCCTGATGAGAATTGGATTTCTTCCACTTCTAGAATACAAAGAAAGAGGAAATACTATAATTATTTGTGTTTCCATCATACTTAAGAGTGCACAAAACAGAATGTAAATAACATGCTGGATTTAAGTTTTTAAGTAGTGTTACAGCCACTTCTACGCGCCAAGATTCTGAGGATGATCTCACATCCTCGGATTTGAGAAGCAAAAATTCTGCACTGACCCAGCAACGTTACTAAATTCAAACCCATTCAGCAGGGATTCAAGGGAAGAAGTGTCACCCACCTAACTACAAAAAGCACTGTGAATTGCTAGGTGTCTCTTACACGGTGTTTAAACTTACCTAAACAGGGTCCTGCCTGGAACAGAATATCATCAATAGCAGTGTCACTTCTGATTGACACACCACGGATCGCCTCAAAAATAATCTGTAAAGGTAAGACACAGCTTTTCATGAATCCCACAGGTGGAAGGACTAAAAAAAATAATAGCCTTGCAACCTGTTCAAGGATCTAGTGTTCCCTGAAAACCTCCTTCTTGTAAAGAAACTTCTGTGCTCCATCAGTGAACTGATTGTCCATGACAGAGCACCTGGGTGTGTGCTATGCCGAAGGAAGCAAATATATTGTCACAATTTGTTAAGAAGTTGTTCTGTGTTACAGACCACTGATAAATTTTCTTTAGTGATATGGCTTTTCTATCTTGCTTTTCAGCCCAGTGTGACATGTGTTACTGTGTGCTGCCCACATGCAAGCAAGACTTCAGAGTGGGGAGAAGAAAGGCATTACATTATGTTGTGGTCTTACTGGTGAAACTAATGTTACTTTGCAGTAAAAGTTTTCGTGGGATTTTTTTTGTTTGTTTCTTTTGGGGTTTTGGTTGGGATTTTTTGTTTGTTTGGGGGTTTTTTGTTTGTTTTATTTTTGTAATTAATTTTCAGGCTTTTAAGGCAGAGTGATTAAAAAACACCACACATCATCTGTGGTTAGTGATCAGAACAATTTTGTGCCCAGTGCTGTTTTAGTCCATACCAATTTTAGCTTCCTCTTTAACAGAGACTCTGAAGCAGGCTCTGTCTCTGGCAGTACTGAAATGATGTTGTAACCAAAGACAGAGCTCTGGCTTTGCATCATCTCTTGCCTTTGGTGCCTTCTCAGAAAGACCACCCTGCAAAAACCTGCCATTTTATCAGTGCTCCGTGGCTATGTCAAATCTTGGCATTGCTACAGACAGCTGAAGGAAAAGCAATTACACGAGTGATAGAAAGGACCTACCACTACTGACAAGAAATTATGAGAAAACAGCATATAAATACTTGTAAAACTTTTTTTAAAATTAATAAACTGTTTCATACTTGCAACCTATTCATGTGTTTAATAAATGCCTCCCTAACATCATTTGCAAGAAATTACATGTTACTTCAGGTTGTTCAGATGTCCATTCAATACCATTTATGTTTTAACATTATAATTTATTTATTTTTTTATAAACAACCCAAAACTCAGATTCTAGCACATAGTTCTCTTCAATATTCCTTTTTGACTGCTGCTTGTTTGTTTTTCTTACCTGGTAGTTTCTATCACTTTCATATTCTATCAGTCCCCTTAGCCATGAGATGCTTTGTTCCCCTGTTCTTCTCCATAAAGGAATCTCTTCATCATCCCCTTCCTTTTTTAGATAAACACTTAATAATCCAGTCCCAGCTCCATACATGTGATAGAAAAATGTCAGGCACTGTTTTCCAGATGTTCCTCTTAGTGACCTGGAAACTAGGTATGCTCTCTGTCCATAGACCATGTCAGATGCCTCTATATACATGTAGTATCCTTAAAAAGATATACAAGTAAATATTAGCACAGTAGAATACATTATCTCAGCATATTAATTATGCTCAATATGCTCATTATATAAACCTCTCTACAATTTGAACATTATTTTGATAAAGATTTTTATGTTGTAGACTGTTGTGAACTGTAATATTTATGATATTGTAGTAATTCTGTAGTCTAATAATGGTAATAATTGTGAATGTTAAAACAAGAGCACTTATAAACTTGGTTATATCTGATGGAATATATAGTAACAGAAGATAATACAAGAAAATTTGACAGCTGTTCTTAAACCAGGAATGCACTCTGATAGCAATGGATTAACTGGAATGCAGAGACAGCTGCATGTACACCTGAGGCTACATTTTAGTCAATGGTTGGCATTGATGCTAATAACAAAGCAAATTAATTGAAATACCTCTTTTAGATCACATATGACATCAATAATATTTTTCTTTCTGTGATCAAGATGTGAAGACACAAGTGAGGAAGACTAGATTCTTTAGAGCCCCTGAATGAATGAAAGACTGTAATGAACTCTGTGGATAAATTAGTCATTAATTGGTGGAAGGCAAATGAATATACTGCTCCCTCCCCCCCCAATCCATCATTCAGTTACTGGCAATTTGAGCAAAATGAGGTGCATCAGAAGTCTGAGGAGCGACCCCATATTCCATCTGCTGCATATGGCAGCTTGTTCTGTGCCTTGAGATGTGCACTCTGCCAGCAGACAGTGAACTCAGGCACTGCAGCAACTCTTCATGCAGTCCCACTGCTCCCTTTTTGTGGTGCTTTCTACCCTGCTGCCACTATAGCTCCTGGGGGTGAGATTGCCTTTGGAGGAAGAGGGGGTTCACAAGGATCAATGAGACAGGAGAAAAGCTGAGAGCAGCAATAGCAGACAGTGGATGCTTGAGATGTCTCTCATGAAACTCCAGAGTCCTATTTTCTGCACAAATCCCAGCTATTTTGAGAAGGCAAAATAGTTTGCTACTGTGAATAAGCCAACTAGTCTGCAAGTGACTGTGCTGGTTTGGGCTGAAATGGAGTTAACTTTCTTCACAGTGACTAGTTTAGGATGGGCTATGTTTAGGACTTGTGCGGACCACAAAGTTGATAATGCAGATGTTTTAGTTATTGCTGAGCAGAGCTTACACAGAGACACGGCCTTTGCTGTTTTCTGTACTGCCACACTGGGAAAGAAAGTTGGGGGTGCATGGGAGATT